AACGTGTGTGTGTGTGTGTGTGTGTGTGCGCGCGCGCGCACTGCTTTTGCATAAGGCATGCCTGAGCTGGGGGCCCACCTCTATCATGTGCTCTGTGCTGCCCAAGATCCGTGACTTCATCTCATTGAGCCTCACTCTTCTCTTCTGGTAAATGGGAGTGCTGGAAGCACACCTCACAGGGCTTTGTGAGGATGAAGTGAGTTCACGAGAGAGACAACAAAGCAGAGGGCATAAAGCAGGACCGGGGCCAGGCTGCCAAGGGTCAAATCCCGAATCTACACCATTTATAAGCTGGGTGGTCTTGGGCAGGTGACTTTGCCTCTCTGTGTCTCAATTTCCCATCTGAGAAAGAGGAGAACAATAGTTTCTCTCATAAGACTGTTGTGAGAATTAAGATAACTTCTCGGTGAGTGCTGCCCAAAAGAAATATAATGTGAGCCACATGTATAATTTAAAATTTTCTAGTAGCGCATTAAGAAAGTACAAAGTAACAGATGAAATTAATTTAGTAATATATTTTATTTAACGCAGTATATCCAGCATTCGACCAATATAGGAAATGATAAACGAGATAAGCCTTCCGTTCATTCTTTCCTTCTGAGCCTTTGAAATCTGGTGTGGATTTTACACTCACAGCGCCTCTCAGTTCAAAGCAGCCATGTCTCAGGTGCTCAACAGCCATGTGGCCAGTGGCTACTGTACTGAACAGCTTAATTCTAGAACCTAGCAAGTGTGATATATGGCATTTCAGCAAATCTAAGACGATATCTTTGGAGAGACGGGAAGTCAACTCTACTCAGAGATGTCGGAATGTGTGTGTGGGGATGGGGGGGCCTCTTGGAACTGATGAAATTCAATGGCAGTGGTCGTGACTGTTACGTGCGGGTAAGGCTTTCGGTAAGGCCTTCCATCGACATGGCTCGGGGCCTGGCGGTGCGGGGGAGCTGGGGTCTGTAGGCACAGTGTTGTGTGTGCCGCTGTGTGTGTGTGTGTGTGTGTGTGTGTGTGTGTTTCCTGGGCGGGCTGACACGTCAGTGGACCGGGTGCATGGGTGTGTTTGTGTTGATTGCGTGTGGGCCTCTGGGGGCGTGAGGGGAACTGCGTGTGACTAAGATGCGTGTGCGTGTGGGCACGTGTGGTGGCTGGGAGTGAGGGTGGCTGTGGGACAGTGTCTCACAAACAGGGCTCTTTGAGGAAGTATATTCCAGTTCAGGGCAAAAGGAGAACAAGGCAGACCATGCTGTGAGGCTTACATTTCTTTGTAGCTTTTGTATTATGGAGAAGTTCAAAGATAAATAAAAAGGGGAACAGTTTAGTAAACCCCCATATACCCTTCACCCAACTCTGGTAATTATCCACTTGTGGCCAGTCCTGTTGCGTCCCCACCTTATTTTGAACACAAAGTCAGATATCCTGTCACTTCAACCATAAGGATTTCCACCCACATCCCTAAAAGACAGGGACTGAAAACAGCCTGAAGTTGTGGCGAGGTGTTTTTTGTTGGTAAAATAAGACTTTTTCACTTCCCTGTCCTCCACCAAGTCCTCAATAAACTGGCTACATTTGTATACCTGTATTTATATGCAAATATGACACTAGATTATATTATGAGGCTCTGAAGAAGCATAGGAAATCACCCGGACGCTGTCCCCGAAGCTGGCTGGAGGTGTGTGAAACGAGTGGCCTCCCGGTGTCAGTTTTTATTAACATAGGACACAGGAAAAGAACAGCTGTCAAAAGAACAGCTGGGCAAAAATAATAACAAGGAAGGAGCAGCTGTGGCCAGGCCCCAGCGCCAGAGTTTCCCAAAAGGCCTGTATTCGAGGGCCTGCCACCCCCTCCGTGGCTCCCATCTGATGAGACCGTTTTCTCTGCCGAAGCCTCCGCAAGGCTCTGACCCGGCGAAACAGGCAGCTCTGAGGGGCTGGAGGGAATTTCAGGGTAATTTGCTTAGTCAGAGAAACCCCAGAGTCTGGGGTCGAGGATGTGGGGCTGGTGCCAGTGGTGCAGCACGTCCCCGCGTCCCCATGTTNAGCACGTCCTCGCGTCCCCATGTCCCCATCTCCCCCGTCTCTGTCTCTGCAGGTGGCCTGAACATGACCGTGCGTGGCTGCGGCTCTCGTGACCTGTGCAGCGCCCCGACCGGGACAGGGGGGCTCTGGGGGCTCCCCGGCTACCGGCTGGCCCGGGGGCCCGACTGCAGCTCCAGCCAGCGCGCTGTCCTCGGCTCCCACTGCCACTCGGGAGCAGCACCTGGCCTCCGCCTCGCCCCGCCGGTGCTGGTGGCCGCGCTGGTCACCCTGGCACTCTCCTGAGCAATCCCGCCTGGCCACCCTTCACCTGGGAGCCCCCCCCCTTGTTCTGCTCATCGCTAGATGGTGCCCCGGCTCCCCTTTATTCGGGCACTCCCGGGGGCCTGGAAGCTTCTGGTGAGAAAGTCGAGAAGGGGTGAGCCCCCTCCCTCAGGCTAGGGCTTCCCCAGGGCTAGCCTTCCTCACACCAGGGCCCCAAAGGCTATCCCTCCTCCCTCAGACTAGGCCCTTTTTCTCCCTCAGATTAAAGACACCTCTACGGCTACACTGCCACGTCGGAGGGTTTCAAAGACTAGGCCGCCTTCCCCCAGGGCGGGCATCCCCGCCACCAGGCTGCTCCTGCAGACCAGGGCTGTGTTTCCTCCCCAGCACTGGGAGACGACTCCTCCTCCCGTCCCCCTCTTTAGGGTCTAGCAAAGTCCTGGGCAGTCAAGGTGGGGCTTGAGGATCAAATACACCCCCTTCTCAGGTTTTTACAGCAACCCTCTCCACCCCCACTACGGCCCCCCTTCTGTCTGGACTCAGTCTCCCCGCTGTCGCTAGATCTGAATGAATCTCGTCGCACAAGCTGAGTGGTTGGCGTTTCCTTTTTTAGCGGCTTCTGCCTCAAACAGGCCCTGCGGTGGTCTACTCTCTCCTCTGGGGCCAAGAGAGGCTGGGGATTCTGGGACCCGAGGGCACCTGCAGATGACAATGTCTGGGAGCCAGGGTGGGCATAAGCTCGAATGCTCCATCTGGCGTGAGTGTCACTTTAGAGCCAGCACTGGACCCAAAGGATTGAGCGGAGAGGTAAGGCCAGGAAGCTCACAGGAGACGGAAGGCAGGGAACCACTCAGCTGAAAGTAATGGAAAGTCCAAGTAAGAGAACTGAAACAATTCAGCGCCCACTGGACAGATATTTATTGATCGCCTTTATCGATCAAGCATGGTTCTAGACACTGGGGTACATAGTAAAAAATTCTCTGCTCTCAGGAAATTATGTTTCAGTGTTAGAGAAAGATAATAAATGTCACATATCATAGGCCAGATGGTGATACATGCTGTGGAGAAAGTGCAGGGAAGAGGAACGGGGAGTGCTGGGACAGGGCTGCACTTTATGTGGGGGTGTCAGGAAAATGACATCTGAATAAAGACCTGAAGGGGTGAGGGAGAGGGCCATGCGGGTGGCTGGGGCAGGGGTGGGCGCATTCCAGGCAGAGGGGACTGCAAGCAAAGGCCGGAGGCACCAGCAGTAAAGACTGGCTGATATCGGACAGCAAACCACAGAGAATGGAGGTAGGGGGCTCGGGCCATTCACGGAGCAGCTCACAGGAGTCATCCACCACCTGCCTGCTGCTCTGCCCTCCTCAGCACGCTGGTGGCCATAGTTCCAGCACCGTGACCTCATGCAACCATATGTGGATCTGGAAGAGGTGGCCTACAGCCCTCGTCTTCCCACAAACCCACCCCCTAGCAGACTACTTCCCTCATGGCCCACTGCCCAGAACTGGGCCGGCCAGTCCCTGGCAAGGTAATGGATTGTCCCGACTGACTTCCTCTAATCAAGATTCAGTCCCTGGGGCTGAGAGAGGCCCAGCCTCTCAGAAAGCACATGGCTGCCTCAGATTCTCAACAAAACAGGGTCCTATAAGCAAAGAAGAAGGGGGATTAATGGGGATCAGTTAGGACAAGGAAAAGCATCTTAGGTGTTTCAACAGAAGGAATTTCATACAGGGAATGGCCTACACTTTTTGGAAGGGCTAGGAGAGAAAAGGGGGGAGGAGGGGAGCTGAAGAGAAAGAAAGGGGGGCCTTACAGTTCCCTGGGCTTTGTAAAAAATCACCTCAACGCTTGGTGGCACAAAACGACCCAAGAAGAAGAACTTGGTTCCTGCTGATAGAGTTGATGGAAGAGTTCATATGGGCACGAAAATCAGAATAGTGCACATGGAGCATTCCTTATAAGTAAACAGTAGCCTTTACTATTGTCATTGGGGCAAAGTGCCTTTTGGATCACGCAGTCAGGATATGTGGTCAACCCTAAAAGCCCCTTTCTGCTACCTGGCCAGGCCTCTGTCTGGAGGATGTCTGCCCTAAGGTGAGGGTGCAGAGGAGCCTGGGTGGCCGTGGAGGGGGTGGGAAAAGGCAGAAGCTGTTTCTGTGATACTGGAGCTCCAGGGAAATGGCCAGGATATGATCCTTCCTGGCTAAGTGAGCAGGTGCTCAGGAAATGCCGGCAGAGGAAATTGGATTTAATGACTCTTCCTGGAGTCTGCAGGAAGAGAAAGGGACTTTGGAGGTGGGGTGAAGCTAACTTGGGCAGAAATTTTAATTTTATTGTACATTTCTAATTTTCTGTAAGGGCAGAAAGTGTGAGCACACTTGTCTCAGGAACAGAGTCCCCAGATGGAGGAGAGACAGGGGGTGGGATGCTGAGCAGAGCCAAGTCCTCAGACACGAGGACTTTGTCCTGGACATGGAGACTTCATCAAGGTTTGAACAAGTTTTGGTATTAGAAAGATTTCTCTCTGGATCCCTTGTTGGGGACTGAGGGCCCAGTGTAACTGACTGGTGACTCCATGAGCAGCTGCGGGGTGGGGACCTTGTCCCACAGTGAGACCCCACCCCCTGACATCACTGTCACATTATTGCATGAGGGCTGGTTGACCAATAAGCTGCTGCTTGCTATTATGGGTCCTAGCAACCAGGCCTGACCTTGAGCTAACAGGGGAGGAGACCCCACCAGTGGGAGAGTGTGAGGGGAGAGGGAGAGCCTACAGGGCAGGTGAGCATCCTGAGGGAAGGGTTCTCCAGCTAGGCCCTGTGGGTGCGGCTTCCACCCCCAGCCCCAGCACCCTGGGCCCTAATTCCACCCCAAAACCATGGATCTGCCTGCCCCTTGCTGCTGGGACCTGTCCCAGGCTCCCAGGCTCCACACCCTGAGATAGGGGAGGGGGACAGGGTGAGGGAGGAAGTGGACATAGCACAGGGAAAATAGCCCAACTGGGGTGGGGGTCAGTCCTGGCAGGAACAATGCAATAAGGACACGTTTCTGTGGGGCTGGGGGGTTGGAGGTGGAGACAGGGGCATCCAAGGAGACAAGGGGGAGGTAAAGGCATGTGCCTGAAGGCAGAGCAGCTCTTCAGAGGGGGAAGGAGCCAGGGACCTGGGTTTGAGTTGTGGTGGTGACTCTGAACATAGACATCACTTGTCTGGTCTGAGCCTCCATCCCTGTCTGTCTGATGGAGACAGTGACCCTGGACATGGTTGTCTCTCTCAAGGTTCTCTGAAGAATCTTAGTCAATGAGGAAGTGTATTTTAGAGGCGATGGACCAGAAGAGAGTGTGACTGGGAAGAGGGAGGGCCAGGGAAGCTCCCAGGTAAGGACACGGGCACTTAGGAGAGACCATATGATGGGCTCCAGGGCGTGGGAGGGGACTTGGCCTGGCAAGACCAGCCACAGCAGGGCTGGGTGTTCCATGAGGGGGATCCCCGGTGTCTGAGCACTTCCCCGTCAGGCCTCTTCCACCAGCTGAACCTAAGAACGTCCTCACAGTTGGCCTAGGGATAGACACGTGGGGTTCATGAGCGTCAGCAGCTGTGCGAGGCAGGCAGGGTTCCCCTCCATGGTGCAGATACAGCAGCTGAGGCCCAGAGAGAGCAGGGACTTGCTCAAAATCACACAGCTAGAAATATTAATAATGACAATGATAATGCTGCTGCTGGTGCTAACACTGAAGCTCTAACCGCTGAGCCACACCGGCCAGGGCAAGTTTGCTATTATGATAGTTACCTTCATCCTACAGACAAGAAAAGTGAGGCAGAAAGTTAAGTAACTTGCCCCAAATCCACTCAGCAAGTATGCGGCAGAGCCAGGATCCGATCCCAGGTATGGGGGTCCTTCGCCCTCACTTCACGCTGCTTGCAGTGACGGTGACAGAAGGGCAGCCACTGTCCTTGATTGAACCCAGGAGCTGGGTTTAAGCCCATTCCTTGGCAGGCCTGGCTACATAATTTACGGGCCCAGCACAAATGAAAAATGCAGGGCCCCTGGTTCAAATGCTGAGAATTTCAATCAGTGTCAGCAGAAAAGCATTAAGCTAAGAGCTGGGCCTTCTAGGTGGGGGGCCTTATGAGACTGCACAGCTGTGACCTACAGCTGCTCACAAAATGTCCCATTTCTGGAGTATCCCAAAGACTCCTCAGTGCCTTGGGAGGCAGGTCAGTCATTATGTCTGGAACCCAGAGAAGCAAACAAGCAGAGAGGTGCCTCATTTGGCCCCAGAGCACACAGAAAGTTAGTGGTAGAGGTGGGATGTGAACCTGGGCCTGCCAGACTCCAAAGCGCCCTGTTCAAAACGCCCACCCCCGCACATGTTTGAGAAGGAGAGGGCTGGGGAGTGCCAGAGGGACTTCCTTCAATCCTTGGTGTCTCTCTCTCCCTGTCCCTCCCAAGGCCCAAGAGGCGTGAAAGGCTCCCTTCTCTCCACAGACACCGAGGACCTCTGGTCCTGTGACTCTCCCATCCCCAGCGCCCTCTGAGCCGCTGGTCACCATGGCTGCTTCAAAGGGCTCCGGAGAGGAGGAAACCACCATCCTCATGGCCAAAGAAGAGCTGGAGGCCCTGCGCACCGCCTTCGAGTCGGGCGACCTCCCGCAGGCCGCCTCTCGCCTCCGGGAGCTGCTGGCCTCCTCCGAGACCACCCGCCTGGAGGTGGGTGTCACAGGCGAGTCGGGCGCAGGCAAGTCGTCGCTCATCAACGCCCTTCGTGGCCTGGGGGCTGAGGACCCCGGCGCGGCTCTCACGGGCGTTGTGGAGACCACAATGCAACCCTCGTCCTACCCGCACCCGCAGTTTCCCGACGTGACCCTGTGGGACCTGCCCGGGGCCGGCTGTCCCGGCTGCCCCGCTGACAAGTACCTGAAGCAGGTGGACTTTGGCCGCTACGACTTCTTCCTGCTGGTCTCGCCCCGCCGCTGTGGGGCCGTGGAGACCCGCCTGGCCTCCGAGATCCTGCGCCAGGGCAAGAAGTTCTACTTCGTGCGCACCAAGGTCGACGAGGACCTGGCGGCCACCCGCAGCCAGCGGCCCTCGGGCTTCAGCGAGTCCATGGTCCTGCAGGACATCCGCAGCCACTGCGCCGAGCGGCTGCGGGCGGCCGGGGTGCCCGACCCTCGCATCTTCCTCGTGTCCAACCTCTGGCCCAGCCGCTACGACTTCCCGCTGCTCCTGTCCACCTGGGAGCACGACCTGCCGGCGCACCAGCGCCACGCCGGCCTGCTGTCGCTGCCCGACATCTCGCTGGAGGCCCTGCAGAGGAAGAAGGACATGCTCCAGGAGCAGGTGCTCAAGACGGCCCTGGTGTCAGGCGTGATCCAGGCGCTGCCCGTGCCCGGGCTGGCGGCCGCCTACGACGACGCCCTGCTCATCCGCTCGCTGCGCGGCTACCACCGCAGCTTCGGCCTGGACGACGACTCGCTGGCCAAGCTGGCCGAGCAGGTGGGCAAACAGGCAGGCGACCTGCGCTCGGTCATCCGCTCCCCGCTGGCCAACGAGGTCTCCCCCGAGACGGTCCTGCGGCTCTACTCGCAGTCGTCCGACGGCGCCATGCGGGTGGCCCGGGCCTTCGAGAAGGGCATCCCCGTGTTCGGGACGCTGGTGGCCGGTGGCATCAGCTTCGGCACTGTCTACACCATGCTCCAGGGCTGCCTCAACGAGATGGCGGAGGACGCCCAGCGGGTCCGCATCAAGGCCCTGGAGGAGGAGGAGTCCGAGCCTGAGGCCAGCCTGGAGGCAGCCGGGGACAGCAGCGTGGAGAAGCGGGGGGCCGGGGAGGGAGGCAGCGAGGAAGCCCCGCTGTCCACCCGCCGCAAGCTCGGCCTCCTCCTCAAGTACATCCTCGACAGCTGGAAGAAGCGCGACCTGGAAGAGAAATAGAAGCTCGTCCTCCCGCCTCCCCCACAAACGAAGCCTTAACAAAGCCAACCAACCACAGGAGGGGCCAGTGTGGTGACTGGGGCGCGGCTGCTGAGGGCGGGGGGAGGGCTCCCAGGGAGTGACAAGGGCAGGCCACCTTGGGGGGGGTAGAGGAGGCAGGTGGGCTCAAGTGAAAGAGGAATTCACTGAACTAAGTGGCCAAGAGGGATTTGGGGGGCAGCAGGGCAGCCCAGCCTGGATGCCAGACAAGAGCCAACTGTCAACCTTTGTGGGTGGCTGAGCGGGGGTCAGGGCCTGCTAAGGCACTTATTTTAGTTGCAATGTCATATCCCTCTCTGAGAACCCCACGTCCTCAAGGCCTCCTCTGGAGGGGAAAGGGGCAGCCAATCGGTGCCCAGGATCAGCACAATGGTGCCTAGCAACTGGGCTAAACAGGCGGCCGGTGGGCAGATGAGCGGATGGGCATCCTGGGCCAGCCCCGCTGCCTGTGAGTGATGGTGGGCTGGGTGGGCGGAGGGGAGCCACGCGGCTCCTGGGCTGGCCTCCGTGAGGAGGTGGTGAGGGTGGGCAGGCCATTTCTCTAAGCATCAAAGGAGAGAGGAGGCAGAGGGCACAACTGCGCCGCCTAGAACGGTCGTTTCAGAAAGATGGCAAGCGTGTCTGAGTGTGACTGTGTGTGGCAATCCGATCCTGGCGTGTGTGACTGGGGGGACCCTGGTGAGTCTCATGATTTTGACGCTATGGGTCTAAGTTGAGTGTAGCTTGCTGAGACCGGAGTTTCCTGTGTCTGCACGGGTGTGTGTGTGTGTGTGTGTGTGTGTGTGTGTGTGTGTGTGTGTGTGTGAATGCTGGGATTGTGCTGAAAGGCCGTGGGTCTGAGAGTAATGGCAACTGCGTTGGGATCTGAAAGCTGCACGTGGCTGTGAGTGACGGAACATGCAACACATTGGGTGCACATACCTGTGTCTGGACCAGGTGGCCCAGTGAAACCAAACTCCTTGGCTGATTCAAGGACCACATGTTTAAAAAATTCAAGAACTACCAGACTGGGGGGGTGGTTCTGGACAGGATGGGTTGCCCGGGGTTTCTGTGGGCTTGGACAGGGGTCAAGGAAGGTCAGACTTAGGGGTAGAGAAGGGTGAGTTCCCAGGAATTCACAGAAGGCTCTGGAAGCTGTGTACAAGGCCGGCAGCAAAGTCAGGACTGTGATGCAGGGCGGTGGCCTCACCCCCAGGTGCTCACAAATATACCCTGTGGCTTTTCCAGAACCTGGTGATGGTTCTCACCTCATTTGGGGGCCTCAGATTACCCCTGACCCTAGGAAACAGTTCCCGACTCAGAGGGTCCACTTTTACCTGGACGATGAAAGGGGGGTGCTGATTCTCTTGGCCGAAGACCTCTCTGCTTTGCAGAAGAATTCCTCTCCTCCTGGAAGCCTCCCCATTCATTGGCTCTGCCAGGACTACTGGGGTCCACATGGGCCCTTCTGTACCAAAAGGGGTGTGGGGACCATGGTAGGGGAATCCCAGACTCCAGATGCACAAGGCAGATGGTCCTTTCCAAATCCATTCTCAAAGCACAGCCACATCCTGACACCTGGGGGCCCTCAGACATCACCCTAAACACGGGACTCACCGGCCACTAGTGGCTGGGATGGAAGGCTGGGCACAAGTACCCAGTGCTCTCACCACACTGGGCGCAAGGTTCAGAGAGACTGAATGGGTTACTTTTGTCTCCAACTGGTCACCATGGCTGGCGCTTCTGCCTTCATCTCTCCATGCCCCATCTGCCATCTCAACCCCCTTAGCCCCTGTTCCAGCTCAGGCCTCGCCTCTCCACCCAGCTCCTGCCCCAGCCCCTTCCTTGCCTCATCTCCCAGGCTCTAGTCTCATTCCCCATAAGGCCACAGAAGGACGCTAATGTCCACAGCAGACCTCTCCCTCCCCTGCTCAAACCCTTTCCATGGCCACCCACAGATAAAGCTCAAGCTCAGCCTGATGTTCCAGGCGCCTCCCAAGCTGGCCCCTGCCTGAACCTCGTCAACAGTAAGACCCCGGGTCTTCCTGAAACAGCAGAGCTGGGAGGGCTCTGAGGAGTCATCTCTCCATTCCACAGGTGAGGAAGCTGACACCCCACCCCTCGCAGGTGGAGGAAATAAAGACAGCAGAGGGGACATGACTTGCTCAGCGTCACCCAGTAAGTCCCTGGCATGGCAGGGACTAGACACAGTCATGCAGTCCCACATGTCAGCCCTGGCAGTCCGTCCATCCCACGAGTGAGGACTCGGAGACCCAGAGGCAGGATGGGGGGTGCCTGGGTGCACGCTGTGGTTGCTGAGCAGACAGGTCCTCAGAAGCCAGGCAGTGGGGTGGGCAATGTTCCCACCAATGCACCAGATCCCTTGGGTCTCTTTTCCTGGTGTTGGAACTGCAGCACCCAAAGAGGTCCTGGCACATAGTGGGTGCTGAATTGTGGAAGGATGGGGGGGTTTGCATGACAAAAGGATCAGACAGAAACACAAGGGGGGAAAAAGCACCAAAGGGAGCTGGTCCATGACTGTAAAGTATTTGGCAAGGGACTTTGACCTCCCTGAGCCTGTTTCCTACTCTGTAAAAGGGGGACTTCATTAAATGATGCATATGGTTAGAACAGTGGCCAGCCCAGAGTAAACATTAAATAAACTACCAGCAATGATGAGGGTTCCAGCTCTTAGTCACTGACCTATATTGTTGATCAAAGTGCCCGGTGCAGGGTTCATGCCCCTAAAAGTTATTTAAGAATTGTAAGTCTAGGATCAGAAGAACACAGTCCCATTCCCACCCCCCACGCACTAGCTGGAGGCCTTTGGGCAAGTGATCTCTCCTCTCACTGCCTAATGTGGAGAGTAAGGGGATCGAGCTCCTTCTCTGGCTCTTGGGGATTTTATGAGATACTCCAGCAGCAATGCGGGACAGCGATGAATGAATGTTAACTAAAATAAAGCATTTAGCACTGGGCCTGGCATATTGTTCCACTCAGTACTGTTACTGGCAATGCTGCCAATGCCTTGGGCTTGCTGAGGGCTGGAGAGAAGAGAGGGCGACTCGGTGAAAACACTCCCTTACCTGTCCTGCCAAAGGTCATCAAGTCCCAAAGACGTGGAACTGAGGGTCAGGGAGCCCATGGCAAGCCCAATCTTCCAATCAGGCCTCAGCCAGTCCAAGATATTGGAGCTATCCAAGGACACCGGGGCTCTGAAGGAGGCCTTTGAGGAGGGGAGCCTGCCAGCAGTGGCCGCCAAGTTGCAGGCCACGCTTCAATCGCTGGAGAACATCAGGCTGGACATCGGCATAACCGGGGGAACAGGCTCAGGCAAGTCGACCTTTGTCAACGCCATCCGGGGGCTGGGAGATGAGGACCCGAACTCAGCCTGCACGGGCGTGGTAGAAATGACCGTGGATCCCACACCGTTCCCACACCCCAAGTACCCCAACATCATCATCTGGGACCTGCCCGGCATAGGCGCACCCACCTTCCAGGCTGACAAATACCTCCAGCGGGTGCTGGTGGACCGTTACGACTTTTTCATCATCATCACCTCCGAGAGCTTTACTGCCAACCATGCCCGGCTGGCCCACAGGCTCCTACAGCAGGGCAAGGACTTCTACTTCATCCGCTCCAAGGTGGACGTGGACGTGGCCGCCTCGCGCAGCCGCCGCCCCAGAACCTTCTCCGAGGAGAGCGTGATCAGCCAGATCCGGGACGACTGTTGGCAGCGGCTGCAAGGTGAGGTGCCCGCTCCGGGGGGCCTGGGGAGGGTGGGTTTTTTTGTGTGTTTTTTCTTAAATATATCTTTATTGATTTCAGGGAGAGAACAGGAGAGGGAGAGAGAGAGATAGAAACATCAATGATGAGAGAGTCATTGATCAGCCCACAACCCGGGCATGTGCCCTGACCGGGAATTGAACCCCGATTGCCTGGATCCTAGGTCGACGCTCAACTGCTAAGCCACGCCCGGCCAGGGCCAGGCGAGGGTGGGTTTTTGAGGGATTGCCTGGCCCTTCCCCTTCTTCTTCCAGCTGAGGTCGAGTGGGGAAAAGGGTCACCTAAGGTCACGCCTTGAGGCTGAACCAGGCCTGCAGTGGAATGCTGCCAGCCGTGTGCTGGTCGCAGCCCATCAATAGCCAACACTGTGGCTGACCAGCCCCCTGGTTCTCATGATGATGGCACGATGCTTGCTCCTCAGCGACAGCCATCAGGAAACCTTGAAAGGATGCAGGTCTATTAACCCACAGCACCTGGAATTTCACAGCACACCTGGGGCCATACAGCGAGGTCAAGGGGAGATCATGGGCCTGGGGTTGCTGCTTTTATTAGAATTGAGGGTGGGGGCCTAGGGTTCTGGGGTTACTCTTCATTGGTGAATTTAAAGTATAAGAGCAGGAATTTAAAGTGCAGGAAGAGAAAACAAGTAGCCCAAATGGTCAGGTATTGAAATCAACCAAACTCTCTAAAACAAAGGAGCCTCCGTGGGGAGAGGTGGCTTGGCTCTTGGGGCCGGCTTATTACTCAAGATCTCTCTTTGAAATGGATGCCTCCACAATCAAAGCATAAGTCAGGCCTTACACTACATTTCCTGAGTTGACACTTCTCAGTCACAGGTGACAGAGACCTAATCACTTGCATTAAGAAATAAAAAAAGTATATTGGCTTGTGTACTGGTTATCAAGGCAGAAAGCAGTGCAAATGCTACGCGCCCATGCGGCTGCTGGCCCCTATTGCTGATGGCACCCAACCTTTACTGAGGGCTCAGCACAAGCCACACACCATTTTCATGAACTCAGTTCACCACCACAACATCCCTAGGAAGTAGGGACAATGATCACCTTTATTTTACAGACCAGAGAGGTTTGGTAACTTGCTCAAGGCCACACGGGTAGCAAAGCTCCTATCTGAACTCAGGCAGCCCAGCTCCACGGCCCATACTCTTAAGCCACGGGCTGTGCAGACTCATGGCAAGTGCTTGAGCCCAGGCAGCTGTTGGGACACCATAGCTGCCCTGGTGCGGAGACCACTGAACGGTGCTCTTGTCTCCTGCAGCGGAGGGCCTGGAAGGCCCCAAGGTCTTCCTGCTCTCCTTGTTTGAGTTGGGCAAGTATGACTTTGGCCTGCTGGAGGAGTCGGTGGTGAATGAAGTAGAGAGCCACAAGCGGCATGCACTCCTGATGGCCCTGCCCAACCTCTCAAAGTCCATCCTAGAGAAGAAGGCGGCCTCACTGCGGCAGCACATCTGGTTGGAGGCCACGGTGGCCTGTGGCATCAACCCAAGTCCTGTGCCGGGAGTACAGGATGTGGCGTGCGACCTCTACCGGCTCATCCAGTCCCTGGAAGGCTACCGCCGCAGCTTCGGCCTGGAGGAGGACTCCCTCATGAAGCTGGCTGAGCAGACGGGCCAGCCCCTGCACAGATTCCTAGAGGAAGTACACATCCCGAAGACCAAGGTCACCAAGGAGCTGGTGGTGGACCTGCTGGGCCAGGCCTCCAGGGATGCCTCTGCTTTCACCCAGGAGCTCCTCAACGTGCCTGTTCTGGGCGCCCTGGCCACCTGTGGCATCTCCTTCGCCACCATCTACCAGATGCTCCGCCTGTTCCTGGACATGGCGGTTGAGGATGCCCAGAGCGTGCTGACGCAGACCTTCCTCAGCCACTCCAACCACAAGCTCTCAGATAATTCCAATCAGTAGCCAAAGCCTCCAGCCCAGGCTGGCTGGAGGTGGAAGCGGAGGGCTGGGAGGAAACAGGCTCCGTGTCCCCAGGCTGGGCATATGGGGGATGGGAAGAAAATCAAGGTCTGCCTCTCCTGACCAGCCCGTGTGCTGTCTCACTTCTGCGCCGAGTCTTATGCCCTCTTGGGCCATGGCCCCCACCTCCCTCACTCTGGCAACCCTCCCCCGATCAACCAGCTGTCCACCTGGGAAGCAGGGAGGGGAGGGGCTTCGGGCCAAGAACTCAGCTGTCTACCTAGAGGCGGCCATCAGTGTCTGTGCAAGTGGGGTGGTGGGGCAGGGGTGCAGAAGCATTTCTGTAAGAGGGCAGCAAATGTCACAGCTCTGAAGGGCCCTGGGGGTCATCAAGGGAGGTTCCTGCTTAAGGTCTCAGTTGGCCAGTGGCAGGGCCAGAGCCTGCCCTGGGTCTCACACCTCCTAGATTCCCACCTCTGGCCGGACCTGACCTGGCCTCCGAGTGCTTTCTTTGCTGCCCCACACCCTTCAGTTGTGTGTTTTCCTTGACAGGCTCTAGATCCCCATGACATGGACACCAGGACTCTATGGGTCTGCCCAAGGATAGGGGAAGCCAGGGAGACAAAGAAGTGGCACAGGGCAGTGGTAGACAGATGAGGCTAGCTGGACAGACTGGAACCAACTGCTTTATGGGGGGGGGAGCGGCACGATCTGACAGGACTAACCTGGGATGGGTGTGATGGCCAGACTAGTTCAGAGACATACTTTGGGAAACACTAAGATTATGCACTGTATTTAAGCAGATGAGAGAGGGTACTAATTGAACTGCATGGTGTATTTAACTGGAGGCAGGTCTGGATTTAAATGAAAGGTGGGGACTATTGTAAAGTAAGGGTAGATGAGGTTTATAGAGGAAGGAAGCCACCATATTTAAACGAACAGTAGGCCTCACGTGTAAGGGCCGTCTGAGTATTTGAACAAGGGTAGAATTGGCTTCAACCAAGGGGAAGTACTATGTTTAACCAACTGTACCTAACCAGGGATATGTTCTATTGTTAACCACTGAACACTGTTTAGGCATTTCACCAAAGACAGGCACTGTCACCAAGTGAGAGCAGACGATACAAGGGTAGTCACTGTATTTTCCTATCTGTAACACAGAGACAAGGGGCTTGATGGCATCCCAGAAAACAGAGCACCCCTTTCTAGGGGCTTCGTCCTTAACTAGAGCTTGACTTCATCTGCTCCCAACAACTCTATGACCGAGACTGAATGAGTCCCTGTGGGAAGTTCATTCAGGCTCCAGTGGGCAGTCAAGGATAATCTGCCCACAAGGCTTGGGACCCAAATGTGCCCTGCTCCAGGGCAGCATGCTGGCGAGAGCAGAGGAAAAGCACCAGAATAGGCTTGCACGACTGTTTTTATTTGAACCACCAGATCTGCTCCAATAAAGAGCTCCCCAGGCTCGGCCTCACCTTACAGGAAAGGGCTGGGAGTCCTGTCCCTGCAGAGGAAGGTCAAGATGGAACCTGCACTTCTTGGTAACCATTCAGACTCCTCCCACCACTTATCCCTGTGGGAGACTGAGGATGGGCTGCCCTGTCCCAGGTTGAGGGTAGGATCTCAGTCACCCCTGAACAATGCTCCACTGAGGGTGGGGGGGCCTGGCCTGAACACCTCATGTCTCTGGGTGAGGAAGTCACGGATGGTTCCTCATCCATCAGGTCTGCTGCCTGCCACTCTCCACTTCACCAGGGGGAGGACATGTGTGCTCCATTGCCATCCACTGGGGACACAAAAGGGGTTTCCCTGCATGACACTCCTCCACTCAGTCTCAGGCCAGCAGACGGCTATACTCTGCCAGGGCAGAGGACTTCTTCACCCCGTCCCAGATCCGAGCAGCATAGTGGAACCTGTGAGAGGAGATCAACAGTCAGTTTCCCTGGCTGGGGCCCCACCCAGCCTTGGGCCCCCGTATGATATGTGATGTGAGCCTCAACTGGGCTACAGGGAAGACGCCAATGCTGATGGGACATGGCCCTAATTCCCTAAGTGCCCCCATGGTAAGAAAAGCTGAAGGTCTGGAACCTGGACTAAGACCTCAGCCCCTACCTCCAAGTCCAAATCCCCCCCCCACTCTACTCAGTGTTGGCCTTTGTGGGGAGCGATTCAGTCTCTACTGCCCTCCAGAGTCTTGTGATGATCAGCTGCCTAAACCCTTCTACCTCCCAAATTCTCCCCTCCCCACTGGGCGCTGCCCTCATCTGAGTGCCTTCCTGCTGCTGCTACTCCCTCCCCCTCCCACAGCTGATGGCAAAGACCTAGGGAACCATAGAGGCTGCACCAAGCCAAGCTATTCCTTTTTCAAATTTGTTTCTCTTAGAAATTAGAGGAGGCCAACCTGCTGTGGGCTGTGGACATGGAAAGTCACATAAACCTGGCACTGGGGAGGGTTCTGTGAAAGAGTGAAAGCCAGCTGGCAGAGGAGGAGGATGAGGGGGGGACAGTTAGACTGCATCCAGTGAAAGCTGGAAGACTCAGTCCTGTGGTTCCTGACGGCTTTCTGGTTTCCTTTCCTGGAGGCTGCACTTTCTGCACGCAAGGCCTTAGAATAAATCTTCTTTAAGCTTGACTGGGCTTACCGTCCTACTCTTCACAATCTAATGACATCTAACCACAGGTGTGTCCTGTGACACTTCTCTCTGAGCCTAAACGTCCTCACTAGTAAAATCGGTGACGAAACCTACACTACACTGGCTAATTAGGAGGATTTGAAATCCCATGGAACAATGTGGGATATAAAACAGATAGCAACAAACAAACAAAATGACCCACAGACTCGGACAAGAGTATGGGAGTGACCAGTGGGGAAGGGGGTTGGGGGGATGGAGAAGATAAAGGGGTCAAATCTCTGGTGACAGAAGGGGACTAGACTTTGGGTGGTGAGCACACAATGCAAGATACAGTTGATGTATCACAGAATTGTACATTTAAAACTTAGATAATGCTACTAACCAATGTCACCCCAATACATTTAATTAAAAAATAACCCTAACCCTCTTAACACTCTAACACTAACACTAATGCTAACCCTCTAACACTAACCTCAACCATTTGACACTAAACCTAACATTAACCCTAACAGCCTAGCCCTAACCCTAATACTTACCCTAATCCTAAATCCTAAACTTTAAACCCTAACCCTAACCCTACACATAACCCAAAACCTAAACCCTAAATCCTCAACTATAACCCTACTGCTATCTCTAAACCCAACTCTCACCTAACCACTCAACTTAACCTTTTAAACTCTGCCCTAAACCCTAACCCTGACCCTGATTTTAACTTTAGCCCTAAAAAAGAAAAAAAAAATTTAAGAAAAAGCACCACATGAAACAGCATGTAGCTTGGCATGGCAGAGGCGCTTACAAGCTGGTAGCAATGATCAATGTTCCAGAAAAGGAAACTGAACGCAGAGAGAGCTCTGAGAACATCCTCTGCCTGCATCAGCACTGGGGGGATGGGAGGCACCTTACACTGGCCCCCCTCTGCCAAGAGCTCTCACCAGTTCTTCTCAGTGAGGATTGTGTGTGACAGCTGCGGCCGGGCCATGGACATCACTTGGCTCCGGAGCTTGCTCACCAAGGACTGGAAACTGGGGTGGCCACGGTACCCCGGGAGTAGGGAGAAGAGTGGGCTGGAGCCGGGTCCTGAAAAGTTGAGGTGGGAGGATAAGGGGTCTTCCTCCCAGTCAAACAACATCCTGGGCTTCCAGGAGCACCTGAGTTCAGCCCCGGGCCAGCTCTTCCCGTACTCCCACGACTCTGAAACATGCTCCTCAAAAAGGGTCTGAGCACCTCAGGGACAGGCCAGAGTCTCCCCTCACTGCAGGGTGGGACCCCGTCACTCCCAGCCCAGGGCAGACCGTGTCTCCCCCTAACCACGGTGGATCCATGTCAACCTCCAGACCAAGGAAGCACCCGTGTCCCTGTGGCCAATTCCCCCGAGGGGAGCCATACCCGCTCTTGGTGGGTTTTCACTCTCTGCCTCACTGTCCATGAAGGGCATCAGGAACAAGTTGACCTCAGAGTCCAGGAAGTCAGGGGGGAGCCCAGGGAAGACGTTACACTGTAACATGGACAGAGTACCTGGAGGAGAGAACCTATGAGCCTGCAGGTACCATGCTCCAGGGGACGGAGCGGGGGAGGGGTGCGTGTGAAATGGTCAAGCTAGGATCAGAAGACTAGTCTGGGAATCTGGGCTGTGAGGTTGAACCAGGCGTGAGGCCGCCACTGGCCAGCTTGGGAGTGGCTCGGGAACCCTCACCCTTGTAACGCAAGTGGGAGTGAGCCATGAGCTGGTCGATCATCAGGTGCATCTGCCGCAGCTTTCGAGGACAGAAGTCTTCTCGGCGAGCTTTGTTCTGTAGGAATACTGGGGGTAAAGGGGAGATGGGGCCCTGTGAGGCTTGGCCATGTACACTCCCCCATCTCATCTTGAAGATCTGCCCTTACCCTCAAGTTCAGATTACTTGTAAATATTTATGTGACATGTAACTTCACGTTAGCACCAGGCCCTGGGCAATGCTGGGGACCCAGAGATGATTTAGATCTGGTTTCTGCTGCAAAGATGGAAAAGACAGAGAGGAAGATGGCCCCATGATTAGGAGTGTTTCAGAAAGTGGCACCAGGGTCTTAGTAAGGCCAGAGAAGTAAGCAAGGCCCTGCCTGGGGTGTCCCAGATGACCTAGATCTCTGAGAAAAGCAGGGCATCAATAGAGCAGAGCAAGAACAGAGAGGCAGCCTGGCCTGGTGTGGCTCAGTAGCTGAGCATCAACCTAGGATCCAGGAGATTGTGGTTCGATTCCCAGTCAGGGCACATGCCCGGGTTGCGGGCTCGATCCCCAGTGGGGGCCATGCAGGAGGCAGCCGATCAGTGATGACTCTCTCATCATTGATGTTTCTGTCTCTCTCTCTCCCTTCCTCTCTCTGAAATCAAGATTAAAAAAAATCCTCATTTTAAAAAAACCAAAAAAACGCCAGAGAGGCAGAGGAGTGGCATGTGGGAGGGCCACACAGGCCACAGTGGGAGCACGGAGGCAGAGGGTCACTTGGGTCAATCCAACACACACTCCCTGAGGCCCGCACTCGGAGATGCAAGAGACCCAGCAACAGGGAGACTTGGGTCCTGTCCTCAAGAGGCTCCCATTCTGATCAAAGAGCCAGAGCCAGACTCAGGGGCATGTCCTTGATGGCCAGGGTGAGACTGAGGAAGTGGGACCGTTAGAGAAACTAGGGCTAATTCTTTTTCACTTCCCTCCTCCCAGCTCCCCACTTCCCCAGTGTCCCTGGTCTTGTCCCTTTGTTCCCTCTACCTACTCCTCTGGCCCCTAGAAAGTTTCTCACCCAGGTGGGGGTAGTACTCAGTGCCTTCATCAGAGCCTGATGAGCTGCTGGACTCGTGGCTGGGGGATGGGGTGGAGGGCTTCACCATCTCCGCTGTCTGGAGGAACCTTGGGATTTGGGGTGAGAGGTGGGTTAAAGCTCTGCCACTGGCACCCCACATCCCACCGCCTGGGGATGTCGCATACATACCAGATTTCTCACACAATTTTAGGGAATTCAGACACAAATCCATGGATTTATATAAACTGTATACATTTTTTATGAGTTTATGCTATTATATTTTAGAGCAGTTTAAGTTCACAGCAAAACTGAGTGGAAAGCATAGGCATTTCCCACAGGCCTCCTGCCCCCTCTCCAGCCTCCTTGCTATCAACATTCATGAACTTACACTGACATGACTAGACAAGCCAACTCCTTCTGCTATTTATTCAACAAATTTGTATTAAATATCTACCCTGTGCCAGGCACTGAGTGAGGCACTGGGGACTCTGTCCTAGCCATCCCTCCCTCGTCCTAACCCCTGGCAACCAGGGAGATTCATTCTAATGGGGGAGTCAGGCCATAGAGAGATCTACACCATCCTGTCAGGGGTGGCAAGTGCAATGAAGGAAACACAGCAGGGCGAGGGGGGTGAGGAATGGAGCGCTAAGTGAGGAGGTCAGGGGAGGCCTGAGGCTGACCTGAAGGCCATGAGGGAGGGATTCTGAGGTCTGTGGGACGAGAGTTTCTGATTGAGGGATGAGGAGTGCAGAGGGCCTAAGCTGCGTGAGGAACAGATGTGAGGAACAGACACGAGGGTACTAGGGCTTTAATGGAGGGGGGATGGAAAGCGGGAGGAGATGGGAACATACTGTGTAGGTCCCTGTGGGCCAGGCACAGGAAGGACTTTGGATTTTGCTGAGTGATGTGTAAAGTCAGTGGAGGGTTGTAAATGTGTGTACGTGAGGGAGGGTTAGGAGGTGGTGACCCGCTCCACTTACATTTTGAAAGGGTCCCTGTGGCTGCTCTGTGGAACCTGTCAGACCTGTGAGGCCCTCCCACCAGCCCCTCACCTGTACAGACTGAGGTCCGTGAACCAGTCCTGGACGACAATTACCACATGGCACACAGTGAAGAGGAAGGCAGCAATCTGGAGCGACTGAGGGTGGGTGGGAAGGTACAACAGAGATGAAGGTCCTCTCTGCCCAGAGAGGGGTCCCTGATATAGAACTCAGCTGAGGAGGCAGCAGGGTAAGGGCCTCAGAGCCTTTAAGCACCTACTGTGTGCCCAGACTGTGCTGGCACTTCCCTCATGGGCCATCCCTAAATAGGGCAAAGTTGGACCAATCACCATCTTCAGAGACAGGTACTGAGGCTTGAAGGGGGAGGGGGCGGGAAATGACTTTTCTGAGGGGCAGAGCCAGGTCTGACTCTCAATGTTGTCCTCTTCCTACAGCGGGGGCTCCGATGAAGCAGAAACGAGGTCAACACATATCCAACCCCTCATCACAGATCTTGCAAGGAAGGGCAGGGCCTCACCCCTAGGCCTGGCTCGGCCCCTCACCTGCATCTCAACGTAGGTGTGGGGAAGGTTGTACTCTGGCGGTAGCTTGCGGTCATTGTTGATGAGGTGGTCCAAGATGGAGGGGCTCAGGATGGGCTGGAGCAAGGAGGAGAAAAACAGGTCAGGGAAGCGGCTGTGGGCAGGGATCCTAAGGGGCATGGCTTCCCAAGGCTCCCACGTTGAAGGCAAATACATCACCTCTCTTGGGACAAAATAAGGTAAAAAATACAAGTAGGCAGCTTCTAATTAATACAGCACTAGTCAGCAAGAGGCAAAAGGAAAGTTTCAAAGCAGATACCCTTTCCCCAGCTCTTTTACACACCGCCACTGCTCCCAAGTGCCTCACGCCCAAACAGGAGAGAGCTCCTAGTGCTAATAAATTTAACATTTACTTGAATGAGTCGTGTCCCTTAGCATCCCCGTTTACAGATGAAGAAACTGAGGGGGGGGCGGTATTAAAATTTACTTAAAGTTACTCAGCAAGTAAGACTTAAAGGCAGGGTCTGGACATAGACTGATTCTAGGGCCACACTTCAAACTGTTACGCTGGATTTTTTAGGCTGTTGTGTACACACACAGAGAGGGGGACAAAACCTGACGAGAGACTAAGGGCCAAAACGTCATAATTTGCCCAAAGGCACCTAGCATGGCCTTGGCTTGGCTAGGCTAGAACCACACGCAGCAAGCAGGGTGCTGGTTTTAACACATTCTGGGAAAGAGCTGAATGTGGCATGCGGCAGGGTGGGGCAAGTGGAGGTTGGCACCTGTGTGTCCAAGAAAACAATCCGCTCTTGGGTAATAAAGAAGTCAATGCCGCTGGTCTGGTTGCCCCCTCGTTCCTTCATCTCAGCGCTTTGGGCTCGGAAAACATACGCCCTGTGGAGGAGCAGGTGGGAAGCGTTCGAGTCTGGTTCTCAGCTTTGGACACCTCCAGTGTGATCATGAAATCAGCATGTGTGACATGGTTCCCTGCCTGCCCACAAAGCCTTCCATCCACAGCCCCTGCTGTCTGGGAGGCAAGGGCTGTATTTTACCATATGACTCCACCCCCACCCATAAGTAGATTTATTAATTCATTTAACAAAGTTAGTAGCCTGAGGTGCTGAGGAACAGGGACCAGGCCTGACTGCTGGGATTCAACTCTCAGCTCTACCTCTTCCTGGTTGAATGGCTTTAGCAGATTCCTTCATCTCTTTTTTCTTGGTTTCCTCATCTGTAGAATGGGGATAACAATAGTCTCGAACCTCTCAGGGTTACTGTAAGGCTAACACAGGTAATGCCCTTGGAAGTGTCTGACATACAGATTTGTAACTGCTAGCCATTAATTACCAAGTACACCTGCTCTCTGCCAGGCACTGGAAACAGGCACTGATAACTCTCCACAGGGAGAGGCTGTTCGGTGTGTTGGTTCCCAGCGCTCCCGTCGGGTGAGGCTCTCTCACTTCTACCTGTGCTGGATGCTGGGGGTATGACAGCAGAGCTGGCAGAACTGGGCCTTGCCCTAAACCACTGAGCTCAGCCTGGTCATTCTATGACTTAGACAACGAGATTTTGTCTCTTTCCATCTGTAAAATCACGGTAATAGTACTCACTTCTCGAAGGGTAACTGCCACCTCCCTGAGGTGCTTAGTATCCTCCCACTTAACACTATACTGAAGACTTCGTATGTGCCAGACACCAGGATGCAGAAGCGAGCAAGAAAGACAAAATCTCTGCTTCCATGGACCTTCTGGTCTAGCTTAAAAATCAACAGAAATTAGGAAGAAGCGTGTAGCGCTCCAAGTGGGAATAAATTTGTCTATGGAGCAGGGAAGGATTGCCCTAAGAGGCAAATGATGCTGCTGAGGGTGAGAGACAAGGAAGCTAATTAAGCAACTTTAATTAACTTTAAGGGGCAGGTAGGCAGGGGGTGTGGAGGATGGAAGCAAAGACTAATCCAGAAGGCAGGTGGCCTGTGTAAGGATCAGAGCAGTGTGGTAAGAGCAGACAGAACACTGGGCTTGGGAGCAAGGAGAGGGTACACAGGCCCTGGAGGGGCATGGGGAGGAGCTGGGGCTTTGGCCCAGGAACCTGGGGAAGCCCCTGAAGAGGTTTAAGTAGAGGAGTGACAATATTGGTTTGGATTTTGGAAAGCTCCCCTTGCCGCTGTGTAGCGAGGACTGCAGGGTGGAAAGAGTGGATAACGACTGACAAGCCCAGTGCTCTGGGGCCTCCCTTGTCTCTCTGACTCGATGCCCAGCTCCCCTTCTTGTTTGTTCCGCTCCAGCTCCAGGGCTTCTGTGTAATTCCACACACACACCAGGTACTATCCCAGCTCAGAGGTTCACACCTGCCATCCCTCCAACAGGAATCCTTTCCCTCCTCCAAGTCTGCCTTTTCTCAAATGCCCCCTTAGTGAAGCCTTCCCTAACCACCCAACTTAAAACTGTAACCTAGCCCTAACACTGCCTTCTTTGATCCCTTCCCACTTTGTTACCGTCTTCTAACATGCCCAGTAGTTAGTTTACTATCTCCCCCATTAAAAATGTAAGTCCCACAGACATATTTTTGCCAGTTCTGTTTACTCTTGTATCCCCAGCGTGCAGAAGAGTGCACCCAGACTGAGGCTGGTCTAGAACCCATGCCTTCCATCCAGATCTCTCTCCCATTCTACTTCCCAGGCCAAATTCAGCCACATCTGTGAGCATTTGCTCCGTGCCAGGCTCTTGTTAGTTTCTGTCTCCTGATCTTATTTCAAAAACTCACTTTACAGATAAGAAAGTGAGACACTGGAAGTGAAGTGACTTGCCCAAGGTCAACCAGCTGGTAAGTGACAGGCTGAGACTGATGTTGGCCTCATCCAAAGACAAATGAGTACACCACCCCAGTTCCTGGCTGGGCTCTGTACCATTTTCCGGGGCCAGGCAGGCAGGGAGGGAGGAACGGGGCTAATTACCTTGGCGCTACGCAAAAACTTCGTCTAATCCTGTTTGTCCTCATCTGATGACACTGAGGCTAAGAGAGGGGAGGCAACTCCTCAAAGACCTTGGGTAACACCACTAGCAACACCCAGGACCACCCCCCAGTGTCAGGCGGGTGCCCACCTCCCTCCTGGCCCCTCACACTCCTACCTGATGCCCCCTCACCTCTGGTCCTCCTCAGGAGTGTTGGCTGACAACAATGACATGACCATGGACTTGCCTGTCCCCTGGAGGCCCAGGACACCAACCACCAACACATCGGTCTGATCCAACAGGTACTGTGGGAAGATGCAGTAATGCGGCCCTCGTGAATCTGTCAGCTGCTGGACAGGGAATGAAATGAAGGGGCCCCAGACTTCCATGGCTTGCCCACCTGCCTTATCAGATATGAAGAAAAAATTCTTGCCCCCAATTGGGCAAAGGGCCTCTGTCGGGGGGGAGGAGGGTATGTGGAATATTTGGGGTACAAAGAACAGCATTTGTGAGAGTTCCAAAGCAGAAAAGAGAGTTACTGCCATGGTTGAGAAGCTAATAGGAAGTCAGTGTGGCTGGAGCACAGTGCGAACAAGGGAAGCTTGGCCTTGGGGAAGAGAAGGGAGGCACAGGAAAGGAAGGACAGGTTGAAGACAGGACTTGGTAACTGAGGGTTATCAGAGCTGACTCTTGGGAGGCTCTCTGCTCAGTTGGGTTGGGAAAACATGGGGAAGGAAGCATGAGAAAGGGAGAAGTGTACAGGAAGAGGAGATCAGTCCATCTGGCTCTTTCTGTGGGATTTAAGTCCTGGAGATTCATGAGACCATCACCTCCAGGTCACCAACTCTGCTGACTTTCACCACCAGGGGGCATAAGAGACATTACTCAAGGAAAAGGAATACAGCAGGTCCTTGAAAACCATTGTTTTGTTATAAGGTTAATGAAAAAAAATTTAAAAGATCAGTTCCCAGCAAGGGTTACCATCTGTGTAAAGTTCGCATGTTTTCTACATGTCTTCGGTTTCCTCCCACATCCCAGGGATGTGCACATCAGGTGCACTGGAGTGTCTAAATTGTTCTAGTCTGAGTGAGTGTGAGTGTGGGTGTGGGCGGGCCTTGGAAAGGGCTCCTGTTCAGGGTGGGTTCTCACCTGGCACCCTGAGCTGCAGGAATAGGCTCACCCATGACTCTGAACTGGAATAAGCAGGTTGGAAAATAATTATCTGATTTTATTTTTATTAACCTTTGACTTTCTTAAGACCAATAAAAAATTTATTTCAATGTTTAATATTAGAAGTGTTTTGAGTCTTTATTTAGAAGTTTGGTGATGATTCTGTGACCAGAAATATGCCATAGGAACTAAACTCTTGTTTATATCCATTAGCCTAGGGTAAAATCGGTTTTGTTGTATGTTATTTTGCTTAAAGTCGAAGTTTCCAAGAACCTATCAAAGATATTAAGTGAGGACTCACTGTATATCCTCAACTGTGGCTGCTGCTCCTTAGACTCACCTGGAGAGCTTTTTTTAAAAAAAAAAAAAAAAAGGCAGCTAATCCAGGGCCTGACTCTGGACACATGAAAGCAGCACATCTAGGGCTAGCCCTGTTCAATATGGTAGACACTGACCACATGTGGCTATTTAAATTAAAGTTAAACAAAATTAAAAGTCCAATTCCTCAGTTGGACTAGCCACATATTGGGATATATGGATAAGTACTCAACAGCCACATATGAGGATAAGGGCCACCACACTAGATAACACAAAAATGGAACATCTTCATCACTACAGAGAGTTCTACTTGACAGCACTAAAGAGTAGGGCCTGGACACTGGCTCCTTTTTAAAAAAACAACAACTCCACAGTTGATATCAATGTGAGAGAGGACACACAGAGGTGGCAGGGGCAGGTAATAGATGGACCTGGCATGTTGTTCTAATTAAGTCCAATCTGTTGGGGAAGGAGGGGACATACCAGGGTGAATTTGAGTAGGAGTCTGATCTGACAGGTCTGGGGGGCTGGGGAGAACAGCAGTAGAAGGGAAATGAAGACTAAGAGACTGGAGGTAGGTATGTCAGTCCAGGAATGGGAGGTATGAACTAGAGCTGGGGCACTGGGATAGAAAGGGAACCTCTGGGGAGTGATGATATTCAAACCAGTTAGAATGGGCATCTAGGTGGCAGTGGGTGCACCTCTTAGCCAACCAGTATCAAAGTGGTTCAGTTACCAACCAGTACAGCTGAGCTAGTGAACACTACTGAAATTCAGCCCTGGCCGGTGAGAGCTTTCAGATCCATTCCCTCTAGTTGCTGCAACTGCCTGAAACCCGTCTGACTGGTGTTGCCCACCATGAGGCTGGAGGTAGGGGGTGAAGGAGGTGAGAGGGTGGGACCTGGGGAAGCTCAAGCATGGAGAGACTCCCAACCCCCAGTACCTCAATGGCACTGTCGCACCAATTCATCTGGTCATCCACCAACTTAATGCTGTGCTTCATGCGCTCTGGGGGCAGTAGTTTGGCCTGGCCCACGACAGCTGGAAACACAAAGCAGGAGATAGAGGATGAGGCGAGGGTCAGTGTGAGGCTCCCAACCAGATTCTGTTCAGCCCCAACTCACGGTCCATGACTGCTGGCGCAGCAGTGCCCATGCCCCGGTTCTGGATCTGGTACACAGGCTGTGTGGGTCTCTGCCCCTCCTTCTCCCCCTTGGATGGCACAGGGGCTGCAGGGGGTGGTGGGGTGGTGCCCTCGGGGGATGAGGCATTTGTTGCAGCTGCAGGCCCTTTCCCTTCCTCCCGTGGTTTCATAAGGACGATAGGCTTCTCAAGAGGGGCTGGGGCAGGAGGGGCAGCAGGGGCTGCTGGAGGTGCTGGCTGCTTTGACTATGAGTGAGAAGGTTCCAGTCAGTGGGAGAGATCCTTGCGCCAGTTGCTCCCAGTCTCCCCCTTCCCAAGATTCTTCCCTGCTCACCCGCTCTGCTGGAGGTTTTGAGAGGATGATGGGGGTTTTCTGCATAACGGAGGTGTTTGTCTCTTCGCTGCCATCCTGTGGTGAGGGAGGGCAGTTATTCCACTGGCTCTCCTAGATGCTCCTCTGAAAGCCTTTATGTGCCAGGTACTATTTGAAATGCCTTCCTACATGAACTCCCTCAATCCTACCAACAACCCTGTGAGATACTATTATATCCACTTTACAAATGAAGCAATTGAGGCAGAGAGGTTGTTAACTGGCTAGCCCAAGATACACAGCCAATAGGCAATGGAGCCAGAATTTGAACCCAGACAGCTGGCTCCAGAACCCATGCTGTCAACAGCTCTGCCAGCTGCCTCTGCTAGACAAGCCTAAGGGGAAGGAGCAAGGACTCTGGAGCTAGACAGACCTGGCCTGCCGCTTGCTGGTTGTGTGAATCTGGGTAAGGAACCACCCTCGCTTAGGCCTGTTTCCTCGTCTGGTGAGTCTACTATGACTCTGAAAGAGGGCAGAATTCATAAACTGTCCATGTGGCACCTGACACACGGCAGGTGCTCACTGAGAGCTGCTGGCAGCACCTGCTATTCTGACCCTCTCCTCCTCAGCCCTGCTCTGTGCTGGCCAAGCCCATGGATTGAACCCACATCTTGCCCTCTTCTGACTCACCCCCCACCTGCTTGAGAAAGAGGAGACGTGAGTTTGAGTCCTGTTCTGTCTCTGGCTTCCTGATTAACCCCGGGAGTCTTGACCCCTCACTGTCCTGTTTCTTTTCCTGTATACTGAAGATGCCTATTTAAATCCTGCTCTCTACACTGGCCTCTGGTGAGGGAAAAAAAGGACATGAAAGTGCTTTGGAAAGAATGGCTGTGAGAGAGCTGTCGGAGGAGAGGCTGTGGGCTTCCAGGAGGCCAGGGAGGGTGACAGGTGAGAAGGTCCAGGGAGGAGCGGATGATACCTGGGACGGAGGCTGTGAGGGTAGAGAGATGATGGGTAGGAGATATTCAGGAGGCACAATGTGCAGCACTGGTGTCTAACTGTCCTGGGTTGGAAGCGGGAGGGAGGTGTCCAGGATAAGGCCCAATGGGTTGTCACTGATGTTGGGAGGAGAGATTGCAGGGCCCTGGAGAAAGAACCCAGAGGGCGCATTCTGGCAGTACGTCATCTAAGCACAGGAGAATAGCAAGGCAGGGCCTGGGCCCACACCAACACTCTGATTCCCAATCCAGGACACTCTCTACAGCAGGCAAATGGTGCTGAGCTTAAGGCTCTGCTGAAGTCCTAGCCCCAGAGCTTACTGACTATGACTTTGGGTAAGTCCCTTCCCCTGAGGCTCATTCTCCTTCTTAGTGAGAACTGCATCTATCAGAGGTTCTACTTCAAAGGGGTAGCTGTAAGTTCGGGAAGACCCAAAGGATGTAAAGCACTCTGCACAGTGTGGTACACTGCATGCTGCTAAATAAATAGAAAGTTACTGTCTCAAACTCTCCAATGCCAGTTTCATCCAGTGAAATCCAAAGTTCTTTCCATGGCCTTCCAGGTCCTACATGATCTGGTCCCAGTTACCTCTCTGACCTCAGCCTTCTATCACTTTCCCTCCTCCTTCATCCACTGCAGCCACACTAGCCTCCTGGCTTAAACCCACCAGGTATAGGCCTCAGGGCCTTTGCATATGCCATTCTTTCTACCTAGAATAGTCTTCACTAGGATTTCTGTCATTGCTTGTTCCTTCACCACATTCAGGTCTCTGCTCAAAAGTCACCTCTTCAAAGAAGGCTTCTCTGACCACCTCATCTAAGAGCTCCCTTTATCACTCTCTACTCTCTTACTCCATGAGGGCAGTTGGTTTTGTTCACAGATATATCCCCAGCATCTAGATTAGTGCCTGGCACATGGCAGGTGCTCAATAAACATCTGTGGAATGAATGAATACAGAAATGCTGTCCCTGGGACTAGAAACTCACTCGTCTCTCTCTTTCCCATGGTGCGATGTAGTCCCTCTCCCGACCACCAGGCCCAGAGAGATTCTGGGGACCGCCAGGGCCAGGCTCCTTCCACCGTCGCCGCCTCTCTATACCATAGAGCCCAGGCTGACTGTGACCAGACTCAGACATCGTCGCCTACAGAGAAAAAGAGGTCGATTCCACGGTGAGGAGAGTCTCACCCCACTCTACTTGGTTCACCCAGGACTTTAAGAAGACACTTTCTTTCAAGAGAGCTCTAGCTGTGGCAGAGACTGCCAACTGGCTCTCAATACCCATTCTTCACTTCTTCCAAAAAAATAAAACCCTCAGTTCTGAGATAGGCACGCAACTATCCAGGATACACTGCTCAGCCTAGTTAGGTGTGTCCATGTGACTAAGTTCTTTCTGGCCAATGATAAGACGCCAGAAGTGAGTTATGGCAGCTTTCAGAAACTTTCCGTCACAGATGCTTGCCATGCCTTTTCTCCTTCCTCCTCCTAGCTTGAAGGAATGTGGGTGTGGAGGCCGGGGCTCAAGCAGCCATCTTGGACTGTGAGACAACTTAACGGAAGGAAGGTATGGTAGATCAGGATATGAGGGCGGGGGTTCCCTATTAACAGTGAATTGCCTGCCTCAAGATTCAGTGAGAAACAAATACATTTCTACTTGTAACCAAAACGATTCCCAACTATTAATTGCTTTGCCTCAACATAAATATAATTCGGAGTCACATAAAAATGGGACATCCTGTTTCTCAAAATGCTGCCAGGCATTTCCTTACAAATCAGTTACATGATCCTCAGTGAGACAACTACTCTTTTCGTGATAGGCAGTAGGCAGACTCGAGCAGAGCAAGGACGATGGGCCAGGGACAGAAGGTCACCAGGATGGAAAGCCCTGGATGCCTAGCAAAGGACAACTATAGGGTGGGACTTAGCCCCCCGGGCAGCATTTTTTCCCCAACATTCAGTTTGGACCCTCTGACCTCTCATCCCTAGAGATAACATCCAGGCCTCAGTTGTATTCGTTTCAGGCCCAGAAAAGCGGCAAAACTAGCCATGGCTGACCTCAGGACCAGCTGCATTGAATGATGGCCCCGGACCTGGCACCGACCAAACAATCAGTAGAGATCACAACCCTGAAAGGACACACCTGGAAAGCTGCTGAATATTATAATGAGATCTTTCCCTGGGACCTCCCCTAAGTAAAACCATTAGGACAGAGGACCTAGCACTCTCCCTTCTGGGAGCAGCTCAGAGCCTTTGTCTTTGCCTTTCCCTTCACATCCCCCCCCCCC